ACTGGTCCAACACACCTAATGCCAACAGAATGGACTGCTCAAATTCATGCCTACCATTAAGGGGAGCCTTCAATTGGCAGATAAAATCAACCAGTGGGGGCTTGCGCGATCCATTATCTTTCTGGATAGAGAAGTAAACGTCGCCTCTGACTGTCGCCTCTGGCTGAAGCTGTGGCAGCTCTCTGTCTTTCTCACTGATTTGAGGAACACACACACACACACACACACACACACACACACACACACACACACACACAACCTCCTTTCTTTAACCCTCCCACTGTCCTAATGGGTGTGACCCTGTGAGGAAAGTTGACCATTGAGCAGGGTTGATGGTTTATCCCTTGGGTCTATGTGACAGAGGTGAGGGGTGAGCACCACCTCACCCCTGCCACGTGGCCCTCAAGGGATAAACCATCAATCCTGCCCAATGGTCAACTTTCCTCGCAGGGTCACCCATGAAGGCAGTGGGAGGGTTAAGGGAGACAGCACAGACTTTTCCACAAGTGTTTTGCCCCGCCCACATGCTTGGAGATTTCCCTGTTCCTGAGAAGTGGGTGTGTGAACAAACCCTACCCATACAGGACCCAGACCGACACCACCCAGCCCAGTCCGTGCTGGCCCAGATGTGAAACTGCCAAAAGTTTCATAAATGAGGCCCTTTCACTTGTATAGTGCCTTTCTGAGTCAGAGAACTCCAAAGCACTTTACACAACAATCACCCATTCACACGCTGATTGTGACAAGCAACACTGTAACTACAGCTGCCCTCGGACACACTGAAAGAAGTATGGTATGGCATGGCATGACATGGAATGGTACAATACGGTCTGATTCATAGACCATGAGCAATATGGGATTCAGTGTTCTGGTAATAAAGAGCTAAGTGAAACTACTACTTGGCATCAGATTCTCTGTATTGCCTCATTTAGAAAACAAATCTGCCAACTTGCCAAAACACTGAGCTGGCATCATGCAGCCTTAAGTTGTTTGTAAGTGGTCAGACCACGTGGTAACGTGATCCCATCATGTCCTTTTTACAAAAGGTTACACAATGATGATACAAAGGGGCTATGGGGGCAGTCTCTGTGCTGCCGCAGACTTCAGTTCATCTTGCCCATAACTTGCTTTTTATTGCAATCAAAGCCATGCTCATTACGTTTTTTTTAAACAAGGTGTCTGTCCCCCACAGTCCCTGTGCAGTCTTTGGTGATCTGAGCTCCAGCTCTAAGGGAGAGAAGCTTTTGAAGCTCTGCATCGCTCCAGTTTACCATTTCAGCTGATTCTGTTTAAAAAAGCAAAACTTATGACCCGTGTTTACTTTCATTTTCAATATAGTTGCCAGTCAGAGCTTGGCAGTAACTCCCCATCTGATCATGACACCTCCCTCTGTTGTGGCAAGATGCATTGAAAAGTCAGGCATCACGAATGCTGCAAAATTCCCACAATATTATGCCGCCACAGCGTGTCCATAAGACACACTGTAGTGGCATTATTACACTAACTTGTTGGCATGGTGTGTCTTCTAAAAAGGGCTAACCCTCAAAGAAAGCTTGGGAGAAACCTCAATGGAAGGATAAGCCCATGCATGACATGTGACAGGGGCCGATTGCCATATACTGGGAACTCCAGAGGCTATAAAATGCTGGACAAACAGACAGCAAAAAGAAACTTTTACGAGATTGGCGGATGCTCGAGTTTACCACAACAACCAAGAAGCCAAGTGCAAGCTGTGCTATTCTGGTCAAAACACCAAGGTGACTGCTGCAAGCTTGTACATTAAATACTTAACCTGTCGTGTGTTTGATGTAGACAGAAAGTCAGATCTAGGTCAAATCTAAAAGAAAACCTTAAAAATGATTGAAACTGAAAGAGAACATTTCAGAATGCCTTGTGGGTTCTTCTGATCCTGACTGATCACAGTCTGTGATGACAAAACAACCAGACACATTGGTGGTTGACTGATGATGAAAAGAGCAGTAGTGGGGAATTTAGTAGTTTAAACATCATAAAATAAACACAAACAGTCAGAAGAGGTACTCTAACACATGTCTTAAACACTGCTTTGTCCTACAAGTGTCACAGATTTGGTCCAATGCTGTTATAAAAACACAACTTATAGAAAGTGAAGTGAAACAAGGATACTTCCTTTTTAATAATCAGGTTGGGATTTATATCCTTTCAGCAGGAAGTTTGCAACAAACTGAATCCAATTCATTCTGTCCTTCACAAAGTGCTAGGCACAATGTCAGGTGAAAAGAGACTTTGTCCATTCTGGGCTTCCATAAAAGAATGGTGCCACATGCTGAGCTCTAGGCAGTTTTATTGAAACAGTGAAAGTGCTTTAAAATAGTTCAGAGTACAAATAAATGCAATGACTTACTTTCTGTCATTAATACAGTTGTAGTATAGTTCATTCAGTTTGTCTCAAAATTATGTTTTTGTAAAAATAAATTACTTCAGTATCCTGAATGTAGCAGTTTGATAGGAAAAAATTACAATTGCCTTTAAAAGATACAAGAAAGCTTCACTTGTTGAATCTCAAAATATTACCTGTGTTTCACAAGTAAACCTCTCACAGGCCCAATCCCAGTCTCCCATCTCTCTGAATTTGTATTTTCTGATGCCTGAGAGCTGTTCCTATTTCAATTCCTAATCTGCATAAAGGCAGTTTTATCTATGCACAAAAAGCCCAATTTTGTCCATCCATCCATTTTCTAGAGATCTTCAAAGTACTCCACCCACTGATCCACAACGTCCCGAGTTGAGGTCAGCAGCACACAGTCCCTCCCCACTATAAACAGTGTTGGTAGTGCACTGCTTTCCCCTCAAGAGGCGTCGGATGGTGGACCAGAATCTCCTCAAAGCCATGCGGAAATCTTGCTTCATGGTCTCACCAAACTCCTCCGTTTTGCCCCGGTGACCACTTGAGCTGCATTCTTCTTGGACTGCTGGTACCTATCAGCTGCCTCTGCAGTCCCACAGGCCAAAAATACCTGATAGGACTCTGTCTCCAGCTTGACAGCATCCCTAAACATTGGTGTCCACCAGCGGGTTCAGGGGTTGCCACCACGACAGGCACCGACGACCCTGTGGCCACAGCCCTGGTTGGCTGCCTCAACAATGGAGGCATGGAACAGGACCCATTCAGACTTAATGTCCCCCGCCTCCCCCAGAACGTTTTGGAAGTTCTGTCAGAGGTGGGAATTGAAGCTCCTTCTGACAGGAGACTCTCTACTCAGCCAGACCCTCACAATACGTTTGGGCCTGCCAGGTCACACCGGCATCCTCCCCCACCATCAAAGCCAACTCACCACTAGGTAGTGATCAGTTGACAGCTCCACCCCTCTTTTTACCCGAGTGTCCAAGACATGCTGCTGCAGATCAGACAAAACAACAACAAAGTCGATCATCGAACTGCGGCCTAGACCACATGTGGACACCTTTATATCCAAACATGGTGTTCACTATGGACAATCCATGACTAGTACAGAAGTCCAATAACAAAACACCGCTCAAATTCAGATCGGGGGGGCCGTTCCTCCCAACCACACCTCTCTAGGTCTCATTGCTGTTGCCCACGTGAGCATGAGTCCTCCACCAGAACGAGGGAGGCACCGGAAGGAGCACTCTCCAGAACTCCCTCCAAGGTTTTCCAAAATGGGTGGGTAGTCTGAACTGCAGTTTGGTGCATAAGCACAGACCACAGTCAGAACCCATCCCCCGCACACGTAGGTGGACAGAGGCCATCCTCTCATTCCCAACATACAGGCAGCAAGATGGGGGGCAACTAGTATGCCCACCCCTGATCGGCACCTCTCAGTGGGTACAACTCCAGAGTGGTAGAGTGTCCAACCCCTCTCAAGGAAACTGGTTCCGGAGCGAGAGCCATGCGTTGTGGTGAGTCCGACTTTATCTGATCAAAACCTCTCAACCTCACACACCAACTTGGGCTCCTTCCCCACCAGAGAGGTGGCATTTGATCTGCCAAGAGCCAGCTTCTGTAGCTGAGAGTCAGACCACCAAGCTCCCTGCTCTTAGCTACCACCCATCACACACTGCACCCGACTCCTTTGGCGCCTCCCACAAGTGGTGAGCCAATGGGAAGGGAGACCCACATTTTCTCTTCGGGCTGTACCCAACCAGGCTCCATGGGTGAAAGCCCGGCCACCAGGCGCTCGCCAACATGCCCACCTCCAGGCCTGGCTCCAGAGGGGGGCCCCAGTGACCTGCGTCTGGGTGAGGGAACACTGTTTCCAAGTTTAATTTTCTTCATAAGGGGTCTTTGGGCTGCTCTTTGTCTGGTTCCTCACCTACAACCTGTTTGCCATGGATGACCCTACTAGAGGCATAAAGCCTCAGACAACCTAGCTCCTAGGATGATTGGGACACTCAAACCCCTCCACCATGGTAAGGTGGCAGCACAGGGAGGAGGATCCTCCCTGTGCTGCCAATTTTGTACATATTTTAATGCAAATTTGTACATATTTAAATGCAAAGTAGGTGACAAATAGAATAACCATGTGGGGGAGACATTTTTTTGGAAGTTTGAGAGTATCTGATATGAAATTACAAATTACAATCTCAAAACTGAGAAGATATATTCTCTGAGTTTTGAATTTTTCTTCCAAAAAAATGTTTCTTCAAATCACCCTGTTTTATCACATTACCTTGCTCAGCCTTAATAACAGAACTTTTAAGCCCACATGAATTCAATACTCAAGCTCCGTGGCTGACATAAAAAATGTTTGTGAGGTTCCAAGGATTAGCTAACAGGGTGGGGAACAGGATTGAGCCACATACTTAAGTAACATCTGACATGCTGACACGATAGCACTGGAAAACCACAGGTGTTGTACTGGTGACTGTGCCCATGTTGTTTACTGGTATAGAACTGGATCACCTGGTATTATACCTGAGCATTTCTTCCTGCGACAGGCCAAGATATCTGCATTATGTATGTCAAACTAGTCAGTATTAAAATACTACAAAACAACTGCTAAAAAAGCATCAATAGCTTTATTGCTAAGTCTGATGCTGTGGAGGTTTCGATCAGTCACCACAGAGTCTTTTTTAAGCGGTCTCTCTGCATCGCACGGGTCCTCCTCTGTCTTTCTGCGATGCTGGAGTTGAGGCTCTGCTTTAGGGCTGGGAGGACAACTCCAGACTGAGAGGGTCTAGACCTGGGAGAGGAAAAGATGAGATTGTTGCTACAAGATGGATCATTCTCATCCCTGACCAATGGGGGAAAAAGCAGAGACTAAAATAGATTTTTAAACAGTTTTCTTAAAGTCTCCATTGAAGAAATTGTCAAGTTGTCAGCATTCTTTCTTGTGCTATAACCAAAGCATGCCATAAGCGTTACAATAATGGGATGGATTGATTTTTTTAAACACCACAAAGTTCAGGGAAAGCCCAGCTAAAGGCTTTTCAGAAGAGACAAGCAGAACCAACCAACAACAGCAGTGGTTCAAAATCTTGGGAGAAATGTCCATAAAATCAAAAATGTCATTTTATTCTATTAATTTTTGAATCAACTGCATTACAATAAAAAAAACTATCAGATTTGTATCTGTTGATCTTTAAAACATTTTTATTTACTACTTTTGTCAGTTTAAGGTTATTTTGTGCACCATTTTGGGTTATAAAAATATCTATCCACATCTGCAATATTGAGAAATGCAGTATGACTCTGAGACTCATTCTAAATGCAGAAGTGCTCTCTGCTACACCCTAGTTTCCAAGATCCTCAGAGTGCCCCATTCATCTTATATAATATATATAAATTAGTGAGAAAAATACAAAAACTAAATAAACTGAAACAGGAAACTACTATTGACAGCAACAGATTTACATACACGTTCTCTCCAAACAACTGATGACCAAGTTTGGGAAATTTCTTTTCTTCTAAAGATTTGCTGAAACACACAGAAAGAGTGAATTAGGAAGTTTGCAAGTTTTTCTCAAGATTTATGGTATGTCGTAGATTAACATGATACTTTACCTAGGGCCATTGGTGAGGTATGATTTGGTCAGAATGTAGTTTTCTGGGGTGACTTTTTTACTCAGAACGATGTCTCTCAGCAGGGCCTTCACACGTATTATCTGCATGACACCGATTGTCAAATGTCAGCTTTACATAAGTGAAAGAAGTCCTCAAATGTCTTCTCCCTGCAGTATTTTTAGCAGCTAGTTTCCCCTGATAGGAACCATATTCAACAAGCTAGTTAACAAAGCAAGCTTGGTTCTGGCCTGCCCACTGGATTCAGTTGACGAGACGTGTGAAAGATGGCGAAGATGACCTCCATCTTAAAAAAACCCTCTCACCCAATGCGTTCCACTGTGGAGGCTATGAACAGCTCCTTCACTCCTGGTACACTATAACATCAATGCAACACTTAGTACGTGTTCAATACTTGTGCAATACCGGATTTACAAAGTGTGACTGTGTCCCTTACAGTATGCTGCATAGTTCTGGAACTCAAGTTTCATTTTTATTCATGTTTTTATGCGGTCGAAGGTTACAATATTAGCTTACTGCCTATGTGTATATACATGTACTTTTGTTATTATTATTATTATACATCAATATTTATCTAGGAATTATTCTCTAAGTGTTTGTGCTGCTGTAACAAGTCTATTCTATTCCATATTCTGATGTTTACATACTTCCTGAGACTGTAAGCTGTTGGCGTTGTAGAGCTGTCGAATGATGACCTCACACTCCTGCAGCGTGGGAGCTCGCGGGGGATGAGACAGACCGCTGTTGATTCGTAGAGGTTGTAAGGAAGTGATGAGGTGCCCCATCATGTCGGCTCCACGCTGCGGCCTGGCTGATCTCAGACACTTACTACCTTCTTCTAAACCTCTAATCATTTGTCAGTGAGACATAAAACAGATTCAGTCCAAAGTAAATATCTTCGATCTAAGAAATAGAATCACAGTAAATACATTTGGATTGTAATCATAAGATTTTGCCAGGTTTTCAAATCTCATTTTCACACATCTGTTTCTGTTTGATATTTTACACTAAATAACAAAATATATTCCACTGTGGCTGAAAGGGAACGTACCTAAAAGTCCGGTCCTGTAAGGGCCATGTATCTTGCAGCGGTGCCTCCATGTAGGGTCCTGTGTGGGCCTCACTGCCCTGGGTGGGTGGCCTTTTGTCTCGGAGACTTTGTTTCACTCCTAAAGATGATCACACAACAAAACAATAGTAAGAAATTGCACAATGTGTCAATGATTTATTTAAAAAAAAAACACACACACACACAATATTGCAATGGCTCCCAAAACGTGCAGACTCAAACTGCATGGAAATTATTATTTTTTTTTTGCAATTGGGACCCTCAATCTCATATATGCCCACAGCCAGCACATGGAGTTGCTAGCATGATGATTGAATGTAAATTAATTAAGATTGCACTTTAATGCAGCCCTATCTTAGGCTTCATCAGTTTAGCTTGTGTGAGACAATGATGTGGTAACAGATTGATAAAAGACAAATAGGTCATCTGACAGAAATTATGACGCTTATGCAACTTAACAAGTAGAGACATTAAATAACAGCGGAGAATGCAGATGAATCCAGAATTTACATTTCAATACGAATTTAACATAATTGTGGCAAATTGTGACAATACCAGTCAGTGGAAAGCACTGAAAAATAAATCAAGAATTAGAATTTACCTCTTGATTTAGAAGACTCCATAATCAGCTTATACTGCAGTTCTGCAACATTCATGAAAGGAAAACATTAGTGCATGACCGAGTCCCAGCAAACATCCCATGTGTCTATCAGAACTACTACTACTAATGGATGGAGACTATGGAGACTCTCCTGGTGGGTGGTGAGATGCAACAACCGGTCCTGACACTGGATCGTTGTCTGCCACCTACTGAGAACCTGTCAAACCCTGACTTTAAAACCCTCAGTTGCTATGCAACCACTATACCTAGACTGAATTTCCCTTTTTTGCCAGCCCCTCATCAGGAGACAGCCAGGTCTTTGGCTTGATTCATTAACGTAGCAGTCATTGAGTTCATTCATTGTAAATGCAATATAGTGATGTGTGTGTTTTAGATGAAATGTTTGGCAGCAGGCCAATGAAACTGTCTCATTTGTTAATGAAGACCTTTAATTCCCACCAAGAATTACTAGTTTTTACATGTTAATGTATGGAAAGCATCCTGACGGACTGTCATTTTAAAGCATACTAAACTATATATACTTTCAACACGTTTTGCTTTCTTGTTCAAATGTGCATCTCTCTACTGCAACCTCGCATGATCAAAATGACAACAACCTGCTGCATAGACAAAATCTTTACCACCTCTTAACCCAACTGATACAGTGACCTTGTTCTAAAGCACACCTTTGTTCCTCCTCCTGAGATACTCAATTTCCACATGCAGCTTCTCAAGAGTTTCCGAGTGCTGTCGCTGCAGAAACTCGATATTCCTCTGCAGCGAGGCGATGCGGGGGTCCTCCTCGCCGCTGAGACCGGACTCCTCCGCTGCTTCAGCGGCGGCGAACTCCACTCCTCTGGCCTTCAGCTGGATGACAGCAGGCAGGGGATGCTGCGGTGGGTTCACCGGTAAAGGTAGCGGAGAGCACGGTTTAGCGAGACACCCAGCTCTGGGCCAATGTGGCAAATGCTGTAACGGAGGGAGACTGTTGCTTCCTGACATCTCTGCTTCGTTTAGCTAACGACTCCCCTACTTTAAGCGCTTTTTACTCGAAAAACACGATTTTTTTTCAAAACACTGGCGTTTACATTTCAGCGTGAAGGCAGCTCAGCTGACAGTGTAGTGCTAAAACGATGACAGAAGTTAGCTAAAGACGCACGTGGTTTTAAAAAGGCTGTAAATTCTCGGATAGCTTCAGCTCTCATTTATCACGCGCTTCAAAGTTGCCGTGACAACTGCGACGTTGCTATGACAACCATGCCCTGAGGAAATAAGGCATTTTGTTAGCTACTGAACCGGAAATATAAAACTTTATTACAACGTTAGTGTCACTGACTTTACAAGGAAAACTCCTACGTCTACGAGTGAATGTTAACAATAAAAAAATTAAAGAAAAGTACTTTCTACGACCTACAGCAAATTGTATTCACGCAAAAACGTCCAACTTCAATGAAACTGATATCAAGACAACAAATATCACAAACAATAAAAAAAGATATATTCGTTCAAAAAATGGTAGACATTTTCCTACCTTCTGTAAATGAGCCCCAGGGCAGCTGTGGTTACATTGTAGCTAATCAGCACCTGTGTGTGTGTGTGTGTGTGTGTGTGTGTGTGTGTGTGTGTGTGTGTGTGTGTGTGTGTGTGTGTGTGGCCATTTACCTTACCGTTTCGTTCTAGCATAGTTTCCTCACAATATTTGCCAGCTAGTCTCTCGAACTCTGCGATTTAGCATTTGTTTAACTCTTAGCAAAATACCCTTTTTTCTTGAAACATTTGACTTAAAAAAATTATATATATATATATATATATATATATATATATATATATATATATACATATACATATATATATACATATATATATATATATATATATATATATATATATATATATATATATATATATATATATATATATATATGCGATCATTATTAAACGCACTAAAGCAAACAATTTTCCATTTAATTTTGAAAATATTTTCAAGTTATTGCATTTATATTTAAAATGTCCAACTTTCTGCAAACTGGGACAGCTCCTGGGTCAGGCTGAGCAAAAAGTTTCACAAGTGTGTAGAATAGTGAAGTGGTGAACAGGATGAGGAAATGTATCCATTCTAAGAATTCCACTGAAGCAAAATAAAAATTCTGCACAAACGAGGTGACTTTTCCTTTCACTTTATTAATGATGCAGCTCTCAAACAGTAGAGATTACATGACAATACTGAGATAGTGCACATGTTATGGTTATGAAAACAGGAAAATGTGGAAGATCAAGCAGAAAGCCTTTAGTCTTTGGAAAGTACAGGTGGTGTGTACCGTTCTCTTGAGCCTGCAGTGCACAGCACACAATAACTTAATTCATCACAACAAGCAACACATAATTAATAAAATGAAACAACAATTAACACATTCTAGGATGTTAGACAATAAACAAAGAAAGACAATTCAGAAAAAGACTCAACGTGATGATCCACCTTCCCCTCAAACACTCCTCATCGATCCTCATCTGGATGGGAATGATTGTACGGAACAGTAAAAAATGTGACACGTGTCACTGAAAACAGCAGCGTGTTTAGTTGCAAGAGTCTGTGAATAAACTCAGACAAGGAATGTACACTTAAACACACACATAGAGCAAATGATAAGGGAATAAAAGGCAACACACACACTGAGACAACCTTCCCTGCTGATCTGTCAAGGCTTCAATGTAAACCTCCTTCAGCCAAGATCACAACGTCATAATAAAATATCAACTTATCTTCAGCAAAAAAAAAACAATAAAAAAATTAATACCATTAAAACAAGCTCTTTTTTGGACTTAAAAGTTGTTTTTTGAGAGGATGCTTCTGTTTCTCGCATCTTCCAGTAGAGTTATGTCACTATGTGCTGTACACACCCCATCACCCATTAACACACTAAATAACCACTTCACACGAGCAAGCACACCAACAACTTCTCAAAAGCAACTAATTAAGAGGTTCAAATTTCCAGTTGGCCCAAAGGGTTAGATGAGCTAATAAAGCTAACAACAACAGCAAACTCTGAACAGACATGAAGCTTTACAAAAGTATACCCAACAGGTCTGTTATAAAGCACAAAACAATCAAAACACTTTTTTTTCAGTGTAAATATATTTTCTCTTTCCATTTCTTCGTCTATAGAAGATTTTATAGCTTATACCATCTCCTTCTCGCCGTTCTAACATAAAGCATGTACTACTCTCACACGGCTACTGTAACACAACTAATAATAATAATAATAATAATAAAGGCGGTAAAATGAGTTATCAGAAGTTTCTAAACGAGCACAGCCTCAAAAACTGGATGAATTTAGCATGTTCCTCTTTTAATACAGTACTTAAACAGTGCAAAAACATTCAGCTTTAGGACCCGCCTCAATGCTAACCAAGTAACATTCAGTCTGCTTCTCACCGCCCTACATTCAGGTTTGATTATGCCTGCTGAACAACATGATTGGCTGATGGGATAGAAAAGGACAGAATGTGGGAATAACCAGCTGTGTGGAAGCTTCCGTGAGACGGATGAACACGTCCCAGGAGTCTGCAGCATCTTGTGATGAAAGATGTTGAAGAATGATTTCCAGACTCTGAATTAGAAGCTACAGAATGATGCGAGGTGATGCGAGTTGGAAAAATAAAGAATCAAACAACCTCTGTCCAAACCACATAGTGTTAATAAATATCAAAAGGCTTTTGATAATAAACAGGTATCAGTAAAGTGGCAGATGTTTAATACCAGGGTCTCACTGGGCTGTAGCTGCTGACGACTAGTTGGAGAATCAAAAATTGAGAGAAAATTTTCATTTTTTTCAGTAGAAACCAAACAGAATTGATACACGAGACACTTTAGTTACAAGTTTTAAAAGTGGCACATTTAGATCACATGGGTCACAAATTGGTCACAAAGTATCTTAATTGTTTTGTTTTATCAGCTAAGTTTTCTCACATTAGTCAGTTTCAAACTCACTGAAACTAAATTGAGAAAAGTTGGAGACAAACTACAGTCTTGTCCTCTGTCCATTTTCACTCGCTTATCTGGGTCTGAGCTGCGGGGATAACAGCTCCAGTAGGGAGGCCCAAACCACCTTTTCCCCAGCAACCACCACCAGCTTCACCTGGTCAACGTGGAGACTTCACCCCTCCAGCATGTTCTGGGTGGACCCAGAGCCATCCTGCTGGCAGGACAAGCCTGAAACACCTCAGATGGCTTCAGAGAATCTTTTTTTAAAATCCACTCGTCTTCTTCACGAGTGAGGGAAAGATGGAGCGGGAGTTAGATAGGTGGATTGGTGCTGCCTGTGCAGTGATACAGGCAAAGCTCTCGATTTACTGGTTGATCTGCGTCCCTACCCTCATCTATGGTCACAAGCTTTGGGTAGTGACCAAAAGAACGAGATAAAGGACGCCTCCCTGTCTTATGAGACAAGTGAGGCTGGTGAAGTTTTTCAGGCACGTTCAATCGGGAGGAGACCATGTCTCTCGGCTGGCCAGGCCTAAGGATTCCCCCGGGGACGCTGGCCCAAGTGGCTGGAGAGAGGGAAGTCTGGGCCTGTCTGCTTAGGCTGCTGCCCCCACAACCCGACCCCCGATAAGCAGATGAAAATGGATGGATTTAAAATCCAAACAACACAACAGCTCTATGACTCATGTTGGGTCATTTGCCCAGTGAGACTCTGGCTCAAACCAGCATGGCTACAGATCCCAATTCTAAAACACTAAACTGAAGACTTTCTTTTTTAGGAGTTTTTGGCAGCAGTTTGGTATGAGAGCTTCTCTGCACATCTGCTGCAGAAAACACAGATAAACACACACAAAAAAAGATTTAAGACATGAATTTGTGGACACTGTCAGTCCTCATCAGCATGTTATTAGATATGCAGCATGAACTGCATTTTTCTTCCCGCTTGTGATTTAATAAAAGATTAAACTCCGTCTAATGATCTGAATGTAGCATGAGTTTTCATTGATCCTAAAAAGCCTCGTTAGATACGTGAGGGAATGTGACTACTTGGCAATATCTGCTCCTTGCATGTGTTATGCTAACAGCTAAGGGGTAGGAATGATCTTATTGTCTTGTAGGTGCCAGCAGTAAAAGTGTCCAATGCTTATCCAACAACCAGGAAGTCTCTGCAATGGTTCAGAGCTGAAGAACATCACAAATATTCACAACACAGACCCTCAAGTTACACAGAAATCTTAAATCTTGTGGTTTTCTTGCAAAAACGAAACAGTTTCTCTGTCAAACCATGAGATGGGGGTGGGGGAGCTTGGTTAGCTGGTAATGCGCTGGGTGCAAATGGATGACATCACACAGCACCGGGACTCTCAAACGCAGAGCCCTGACTGCAAAGCTGTGAGGCGCCGTTCGATACACTCCTTGCCTGCAGAGACGACAAAAAGGGAAGTGATGAAAAATCAGAACACAACAGGTTATCTGAAGATGTTACACAAAATACTCTGCTCCAGTCTGCTCACGTGCAGCCTGGAGGAGGCCAGATAGAGGCTTACATTTGCTGATGCTGAGGATGTCCTCCTGCTCAGTGAGGAGAAGGGACAGGCCCTCCATTAGCAACAGGGCTTTGTGGTAGCGTAGGACCGACGCCTCCCCCTGGTGGAACATCTCATCCAGCGCAGCAGCCTGAACCTGAGCACACAACAAACATCCAAGATCTGAACATCCTAACGTTTTAGAGTCCTTACACACATTTACATGATGGCTTGCTTTACCATTTGCACAGTGTGGCTGAAGAGCAGCCGCTCCGCTGTGATGGAGGTGATTTGGTCCATTAGACGGTGTTTTCTGGTGAAGAAGTGTTCCAGACGGGTGCTGAGAGAGCGGCAAGATGCCACACTGGACTTGTACAGCTCATTCAGCCTTCTGACTACTGTAGGAGGGAAAATATGCAATATGATTTAAACAATACACTGATTATTCATCCCAGCTGTTAAAGGCTCTTACCCTGTTTGACTGTAGCAGACGGGTAGAGTTTGCCTTGTTTAACTTGCTCCATGGCTGTGGTTAAGGCAGTAGACAAGAGCTCTGCAGTTTTCAGATAGAGCACCAGCTGCTCTGCATAACTGTGGAGTGAAAACACACACACACACACACACACACACACACACACACACACACACACACACACACACACACACACACACACACAGAACTTTAACCTCAACTTTAACTCAACAAACACGTGATAAATATATGATCTTTTCAATGCACGTGATCCTTTTCTCTCACAGCTTCTTTGTTCTCCACAAAATACAATATTCCTGAGATTAAGTTAGAATAAAGTCCTGACATATGAAACGGAAATGATCTAAGTCTATTTCTATTCTTTATAAAACAAGAGATTTATTGCACAAGAGCTGCCTTTATTTACTGTACACATCCCTTTGCTTGCCTTATTTGAGTTATTGTGTGGAAATTTGGGAGAAAATACAAAACATATCTGGATTCAATTTTTAAATTGCAAAAAAGAGCTATAAGAATAATAAATAAAGCTGGATATAGGGAGTCCACAATCCAGTTTTTTGTAGGATCAGCTATGTTAAAATTTAAGGACATTATAGATCTTAAAACTTTATAAATGATGTATAGAGTGGTGAAAAAGAATGTTCCAATTTGCATTTTAAGTATGTTTAAATTAAGAGATGGAAAATATGATTTGAGGGGGTCTTATATGTTTGAAATACCTAAAGTGAGAACTAATGCTAAGTATAGATGTGTGTCGGTTTTGGGAGTGGTTATGGAATGGACTTAATGATGAACTGAAGATGTGTTATTCTTTATAATTTTTCAAGAAAATTTTAAAAATTTGCATCTTCCAAAGTTATAGAAACTTAGTTTGATGTCTAACCTTGTGTTGATTTGATTTCTTGATTTATCATTGCTTTTTCTTTAAATGTTCTGCATCTTAGCTATCAGCCCTACTTTTTGTTCTCTTGGTTAAGGATTTGATCATCGCTGTGGGAGTTAAGGATAGGCTAATTATAAGCCACTAGGCTTCAACCTATTCCTTTTATCGGTTGCTTGATTACTTTTATGTAAAACTGATAAATTGTTGTTGTTGTTGACCGACTTATTGTTGCAAACCAAACACAAACTCTTCACTATTTCATTTGATCAGTGATCTGGTGTCTAAATTACAGCGGAATGATCACATTTCAGTTATTTTCTGGTTACACAGAGCATAAAATATAATAATAATTAAAGCTGCAAGCAGCGTCGTTCGGCCCTCGCAGCTCCGCGCCGCTCCGGCCTGGCCGACAGCCCGGGTCACCAGGGCACGTCTGGCAGAACAGAAACGTCAACCGCCCCGACACTAGAAACCGCAAATGGCCTCCTAGTCCGCACCTCACCCTTACTCAGCATCCCCTCTGAGCTCACCATTAAATTGAATTGTAAGGGTGCGGCGTTATGCCAGAATTCGCCATGGCATCAAAGCCCTTCCCTTTCTGGAAAGCTATCAGATCTGAATGGTCAATACAGCATCATGAAGACAGTGCATGACCTTGGTGTCTTGTTGACTAAATTAGAGGGGACAAATATGGGCATTTCAGCATAAAAAAATAGACTTCCTGTGGTCAGGGGGCGGGGCTTAGGTGATGTCAGCTGTCCACATTGTCATTTTTTACAGATATGGTCAATGATCACACAGACAAAGTTTGAAAAAGATCTGATCTTGCACATGGGAGTTATTAAGTCAAGTAAAGTAATGGCGAAAGGTCAAAGTTTGAGACTTAGCCACGCCCACACCTTTCAACTTTTGAAAAATGCGACGGTTGAATTTTTTCCCCTACGTCTTAAGAGTATATAGTAGAAGTTTGAAAGTGATTGGTGAAAAGGGCGACGGAGCATCACTCTCCAAACAACGTGTGCGAAAACCACTAAATCGCGTACTTGGACCAAAATGGCTGACTTCCTGTGCGACTTTACGCTTGGCTCCAAGAGACTTTTTTGTAGGTCCTGAGACCCCACATTAGTGTACCAAATTTCGTAATCTTCAGTCAAAGCATGGCTTGGGGCTATTAGTTTAAATGGTCCTAGGGGGCGCTATTTAAGAAAATAGGCCACGCCCACAAATTTCAGCTATGTTTGTCTCTTGGGGGTCAGACAAGGATCACTTACAAGAAGTTTCGTAGCGCTATCACAATAACTGAAGAAATGAGAGGCAAACGTATTTCCATGGCGTGATGGTGATTTTCGCCATGCTGCCAAAGCCCCGCCTTTACTCGAAACCTGCCAGTACTGGATACCAAGTGACCTCAAGTTGTCTACTGCTATTTGCCAGAGATTATTGGTGATTGGGTAAAAGGAGTCCAATAGGAAGCTGTGAAAAAAAGAGTGGCGTGGCGAAAGGTCAAAGTTTGAGGCTTAGCCACGCCCACACCTTTCAACTTTTGAAAAATCCGACGGTTGAATTTTTTCCCCGATGACTTAAGAGCATATGGCAGAAGTTTGAAGGAGATTGGTGAAAAGGACGACGGAGCATCACTCTCCAAACAACGTGTGCGAAAACCACTAAATCGCGTACTTGGACCAAAATGGCCGACTTCCTGTACGACTTTGCACCTGGGTCCAAGAGACTTTTTTGTAGGTCCTGAGACACCACATTAGTGTACCAAATTTCGTAATCCTCAGTCAAAGCATGGCTTGGGGCTGACAGTTTTAATGGTCCTAGGGGGCGCTATTTCAGAAAATAGGCCACGCCCACCGGATGTTCACATCAGTTCTTTTGAGGGGCCGGACTAGGATCACTCACAAGAAGTTTCGTGACGATATTTTTAGAAATGACGAAATGGGAGGCAAACGTAAGGCCACGGCGGTACGCCTGACTTCGCCGCGCCGCCACAGCCCCGCCCTCTGTCGAAAACTCCCATAAAGTGACGCCAAGCAACCCCCACTTGTCTTGAGTTAACAGTTACAAATTTGTGGGGATTGAGTGAAATGGGGCCATTTGGGACCTTTCATAGTAAAACTTGACCTTTTTGGTCCTGAGGGGGCGGGGCTTGTGTGATGTCATCATCCGACCATTCATTTTACTTTGTGGGAGGATGACAAATGACCACAGAAAGTTTGGTAACTCTATTCCATTCAATTATGAAGTTATAGCAGTTTTAATTTTTTTGGCGAGTAGTCAAACTTCGAGGCCTGGCCCCGCCCCTTCAGCATATACGAAAACTCAGAATCCTTGTCTCATTTTGTTCGGCCATTTCTTCTGAGCAATTTTATACCATTTTTGAGACGATCGTGCGAAAATTGATCGAGCAATCCAATCAGAGACTGACCCTAAAAACGGCAAAAACGGCCAAAAATCGCCATTTCATCCCAAAATGGCCGACTTCCTGTTTGATATTGACCATGCTTGCAAGAGACTTTTCTGTGCGGACTGTTGAGTACTACAAGTGTACCAAATTTCATAACTGTACGATAAACTAAGCTTTATGGAGAGGGTTTTTTTTCACTTTGTAGGGGGCGCTGTTCAGCCATTTTCTTTGCGATTTTTTTGGGACCTTTAAAATATCAAATTTTTCACCAGGCCTGACAATTGTGCAAAATATTGTGAGTTTTGGGGTATGTTAAGGTCCCCAAAAAGCCATTCATTTCGCGCACGGAATAATAAATAATAATAATAATTAAAGCTGCAAGCAGCGTCGTTCGGCCCTCGCAGCTCCGCGCCGCTCCGGTCTGGACGGCAGCCCGGGGCACCAGTGCACGTCTGACAGAACAGAAACGTCAACCACCCCGACACCAGAAACCGCGAATGGCCTCCTAGTCCGCACCTCACCCTGACTCAGCATCCCCTCTGAGCTCACCATTAAATTGAATATTAAGATTACGGCGTTACGCCAGAATTCGCCATGGCATCAAAGCCCCTCCCTTTCTGGAAAGCTATCAGATCTGAATGGTCAATACAGCATCATGAAGACAGTGCATGACCTTTGTTTCATGTTGACTAAATTAGAGGGGACAAATATGGGCAGTTCACCATAAAACAATAGGCTTCCTGTAGTCAGGGGGCGGGGCTTAGGTGATGTCAGCTGTCCACATTGTCATTGTTTACAGATATGGTCAATGATCACACAGACAAAGTTCGAAAAAAATCTGATCATGCACATGGGAGTTATTAAGTCAAGTAAAGTAATGGCGAAAGGTCAAAGTTTGAGGCTTAGCCACGCCCACATCTTTCAACTTTTGAAAAATCCGACGGTTGAATTTTTTCCCCTATGTCTTAAGAGTATATAGCAGAAGTTTGAAGGCGATTGGTGAAAAGGGCGACGGAGCATCACTCTCCAAACAACGTGTGCGAAAACCACTAAATCGCGTACTTGGACCAAAATGGCCGACTTCCTGTGCAATGTTGTGCTTGGCTCCAAGAGACTTTTTTGTAGGTCCTGAGACACCACATTAGTGTACCAAATTTCGTAATCCTCAGTCAAAGCATGGCTTGGGGCTGATAGTTTAAATGGTCCTAGAGGCGCTATTTAAGACAATAGGCCACGCCCACAAACTTCAGCTATGGATATCTCTTGGGGCTCAGGCTAGGATCACTTACAAGAAGTTTCGTAGCGCTATCACAATAACTGAAGAAATGAGAGGCAAACGTATTTCCATGGCGTGATGGCGATTTTCGCCATGCTGCCAAAGCCCCGCCTTTACTCGAAACCTGCCAGTACTGGATACCAAGTGACCTCAAGTTGTCTACTGCTATTTGCCAGAGATTATGGGTGATTGGGTAAAAGGAGTCCAATAGGAAGCTGTGGAAAAAAAGAGTGGCGTGGCGAAAGGTCAAAGTTTGAGGCTTAGCCACGCCCACACCTTTCAACTTTTGAAAAATCCGACAGTTGAATTTTTTCCCCTACGTCTTAAGAGTACATGGCAGAAGTTTGAAGGCGATTGGTGAAAAGGGCGACGGAGCATCACTCTCCAAACAACGTGTGCGAAAACCACTAATTCGAGTACTTGGACCAAAATGGCCGACTTCCTGTGCGACTTTGTTCTTGGCTCCAAGAGACTTTTTTGTAGGTCCTGAGACACCACATTAGTGTACCAAATTTCGTAATCCTCAGTC